ATCAATCAATCAATCAATCTATCTATCTATCTATCTATCTATCTATCTATCTATCTATCTATCTATCTATCTATCTATCTATCTATCTATCTATATATATATATATATATATATATATATATATATATATATATATGTATATACATACATACATACATACATATATATATATATATGTATATATATATATATATATATATATATATATATATATATATATATATATATATATATATATATGCATGTGTGTATATCGGTATATATACCTATCTATGTATATCTATATCTATATATATAAATAAATATATATATATATATATATATATTATATATATATATATATATATATATATATATATATAGAGAGAGAGAGAGAGAGAGAGAGAGAGAGAGAGAGAGAGAGAGAGAGAGAGAGAGAAGAGAGAGAGAGAGAGAGAGAGAGAGAGAGAGAGAGAGAGAGATACATACATATATATAAATGTATATATGCATTTATATTACCCGCACATACACACAAAGTTATACATATACATAGATATAAATTTGTATACATGTTTGTGTGTGGGTGTGGGTGTGAATTTCTGATTGTATGCATGCATCCTTGTATATGTGCATAATTGCTTTTAAATTCATAAAAAATGTATGTATGTGTATATACATCTATATGCATATATTATGTATATGCGTCTGGATGAATATATAAATGTCTAATTTCTCTGTGTATCTCAGTACACTGTCAGTAAAACACATATCATGTAAAAACAATCAGTTGCCTGTATTATTACAATCATTACTGCTTTTCTTCAGTAATTCCTAAAGTCTTCGGTTGACTGCATATTGCTTGCCTGCAAATTGATCTGCAGAAAATGAAACACCAAGTCATTTGCACCAGTTCGAATCACAGTCATTATAATCTATTTACTACCAATAATATTTAGTCTAGCTGTACTTTACTCGGTCATCTCGCCTTGTGGAATTAAAGCAAGTGCAAAATGATTCTCAGAAAATTATCTTCCAAAAATATAACAGAGAGAGAGAGAGAGAGAGAGAGAGAGAGAGAGAGAGGAGGAGGAGGAGGGAGGGAGGGAGGGGAGGGAGGGAGAGGAGGAGGAGAGAGAGAGAGAGAGAGAGAGAGAGAGAGAGAGAGAGAGAGAGAGAGAGAGAGAGAGAGAGAGAGAGAGAGAGAGTAAGAATTAGATAATAATGATAGTAATGGTATTATCGAAAACAATAAAATAGTGATGATAATAAAGATAATGATGATGATGATAGTAATAATGATAATAAAAATGATAATAACAAAACTAATGAAAACAATAACAACAATAAATACAACAATACCAATAATTGTAACAATAACAAGGATATAGATAATTGTAGCAACAAAAATACAAACAATAAAAACATTGATAATGATAATATTGGTAACATTAATAGAAGTAATCATGATAAGAACAATATTAGTAATAATAATGATAAAATTAATAATAATGATAATAAGATACCAATCATAATGGTAATGATAATAATGAAAAATAAAGATAATGATAATGATGATAATAACAAGAGTGATAATGGTAATATCAACAACAAGAATAATAACTATTAATATAAATAGTACTAATGATAAGTTACCATTGAAACTAGTATAGTTGTCATAAGTTACCATTGAAACTAGTATAGTTGTCATAAGTTACCATTGAAACTAGTATAGTTGTTATAAGTTACCATTGAAGTATAGTTGTCATAAGTTACCATTGAAATTAGTATAGTTGTCATAAGTTACCATTGAAACTAGTATAGTTGTCATAAGTTACCATTGAATTTAGTATATATTCCGTAATGTATTGTCAGAAGAAGGGAAATAACGCTTGCACTTTGACCATTACTTTTGCGTGTAATGCAGTCATGTTCTTCCGTGTAATCTTTTTTTTTTTTTTTTTTTTTTTTTAGGGGGGGTTGGAAGTGTAAATAATTTTCTTTTTTTAAGAGAAAATATATGATTCTGTCTTTATAGGTATCCTGTTATTCTGAACCATAAGGAATCATTTAATGTAAAGTTGTATAAATTTGGAAGTGATAGATAACAGAAGGATACAATTATGGTATTGTTGATTGCGAAAACAATGGTGATAATAACGATGGGTATAATGATAATGACAATTTATGAATCACTGAATGACTATCGATGATAATGATTAATCTGTTTCATGCATAACTTCCATACCTACAAAACTATCAAATACTTTCGGCTTTTTCTAATTACTTTTTACAATGTCTTATTATTTTCCCTTTGATTTCGTTAACTAACAAATGAAATTACATTTTTCTTTTTTTAACTACCTTCCTTGCTCTCTGTCAATTTAGTAATAAGAAAAAAAATCAGGGTATCAAGGATAAACAAAATGAACATCTAAATTGTATTTTAGAACGAAAAAGTAGAATGGAAAAAAAAAAGTTAATTCTGAGATTGCACCAATGCAAGACGATAGTAGGTGCAAGCAGGCATACAATGAGATCCCAAGCCGCGTGTGGGTGTGACAGTAGCTTAGCTATTATAGAAGACTGGCTGTCATATTGCTGGTCATGGACTAGTCTTGTTTTTTTCTCTCTTTTTTTTTTTTTTTTTTTTTTTTTTTTTTTTTTACCAGTCCACTTTCGGAGTTTTGTATTAAAAAAAGGGGGGCGGGGGTAGGAACAGTTATCTCTGCGCTTTGTGCTTCAAAATCCTTTTCCTATATGAAACAATGTTTTTGTGCTTTGTTCACACTATATAAACATATATTTACACACAATTGATAACATATATGCACAATATATGAAGAAACACATCATATATGTGGCCAATCATATTACTATTATTTACATTTAGTACCTTTAAAAATAAATCCAGGGAAAGAAAAACTATAACATGTATATAAAAATACATTTATTCATAATCATGTAAGGACACATTTGCACAAACTCACATACACGCTACAAACAACAAGTTTATGCATCTCTCTGTGTGTTTTGATCTATGTTTAGCTTGTACTGAGTGTGTAGAGCGTCGAAACATGTTTATTTTCCCAATGTCTTACTTCAAAGGTGGTTTATTCGTCTTAAATACAAGCTATACATGCATTTGACTGCAAACCTGTGCATGTGGTTGTGTGTGAATTCACACACATACACACAAGTATGTATATATATATATATATATATATATATATATATATATATATTATATATATATATATATATATATATATATATATATATATATATATATATATATACATGCATGCACACACACATACACATTATACATACATACATATATATATATATATATATATATATATTATATATATATATATATATATATATATATATATATATATATATATATATATATTTGTGTGTGTGTGTGTGGTGTGTGTGTGTGTGTGTGTGTGTGTGCGTGTGTGTGTGTGTTTGTGGGTATACATCGAATCATCTACAGTAAAATCATAAACCTTATAAGCTGTAAATTGTAATATAAACAAATTCTTATGACTGTGTGCATGGTGCAAAGATAACAAAATTTGAAGATTTTTTTTTTTTTTTTTAAGAAACACGTCATGTGTAAAAAAAAAAAAAAAGTTTCCTGTTAAGTGTAACACTAAAGAACAAAATATAAAAATCTGGCACCCTTCTAGGCTTTGCTTTACCTAGACATCCTGGCATAAATAGCATGGGACAGGCATAGAGAGACAATTCATTCGTTGACAAAGCTCAAGAAACAACAGACAATGAACCCGGTAAGGTCAAAATATTTGACTGTGGTGAAATAAGCACATGATAACTAGCTTCCCTTAATTTATTTACACACAGGAAGTTATACTGACTTTTATAATGCATGCCAGTTGGTATATGAAAATGAAAATGGAAAGACAAAGAAATAGGACGTATGCATATTAATTATTCTTTTATGGGAATAAGCATATGCTTTGATCTTGTTATCTTAATGACACAACTCAAAATAAACATTTACCTGTTCCTCTCAGATGCGTTATGCTTCCGTGCTGGCCCTGCTGTGCGTGACGTCAGCTGCGAAGCTTGAAGGCTACAGTGCCGGAGGCGACACCGGCCTGGGAGTCACGCTGGACGGAGTGCATGGCGGCGCCGGCCACAGGGGCGTTGGAGGCGGCCGTGTGGTTCCCGCCATCTTCGTCGGTTCTGGAGTGATTCCTGAGAGTGCCTTCGGAGGCGTCATCGGCGGGGAATACAGTGCCCCGAGCGCTGTTGTCGCTCCTGTGGCAACTGGAGGTTCCTTTGGCAATACCGTCGGAGGTGTCGTCAGTGGAGAATACAGTGCCCCGAGCGTTGCTTCTGTGGCCACTGGAGACTTCGATGCCGGCGTCGCAGGAGGCTTCGATGCTGGTTTCTCCGGCTCTGGGTCCGACGCCGTGGCCGAGGAATACATCCCGCCCATTGCAGGCCCTGATGCCGCTCCTGTTGCAGACCTTCCTGCTCCGGGCAACACGTACATCACTCCCCGCAACTGAGCTTGACGCTGTCGAGCCTGAGACTCGAGAGATGCTGCCACCATCCTCATCAGAATCTCTTCGTGGATTACGTCTCAATAAAGTCTAAAACTTAATTTGAATGTGTATTACTTTTAGATTTATGTTTTATATAATAGCTCAATTGTGAATATAACATAATATACTTGTCATATTTTATCTTAATTTGCCTAAGCAGACTAACCAATCCAACCAGACATACCATACATAAATATATACATATATGTATATATGTGATAAATGTGTGCGTGTATATATATATATATATATATATATATATATATATATATATATATATATATAATATATATATACATACACACACACACACACACATGGACTTACATACATACATATGTATATATATGCGTGTGTGTGTGTGCATGTGAGTGTGTGTGTATTGTCGCAAGAAAAAATTGTCAAAGGAATTTGTTTAATTTGACTCACATATAT